TGTTGGCTATTTCGGTGCATTTTTGGACCATGTTTCATTTTTCGTCCAAAATCCCCCTGTGTGGGGACACGCCCGACCTAAGACCCGAAAGGGGGGGGGGAGGATGGACCAGCCTCCTAGCGTGGGTCTCTCGGGTCGGCGCTGCGCTCCCCCCGGCGGCACCGCCGGCGGCACCGCTGGTGGCATCGCCAGCGCCGCGCCTGGGGGCGCCCTCGGGCGCGCTCCGCGTGCCAGGTACCCGTCGGTCGTTGAGAGCGGGTATTCTTGGGCTCCCAGAGCCCAACGTGCTCGATCAGGCGATCGCAAACATGGATCGAGGGGGCGTGGATTAGCGACGGGTCCCGTTTCCTTGGGAAATCGCGGAGTTCCGCCGCCGAGCGAGACGGCACCGGCCGCACTTTGGGGAGGGCATCTCCCCCGATCCATGGATTTGGCGACCGCGCGCCAAATCCAAGGATCGCTAATCCATGGCTGCGCGCCCAAAACTTTAGGCGCCTTCCTACTTCAAATAACGAGCGTTTTTCCTATCTCCTTCATCTGTACAGGGGGCAGGCGGGAACCCAATCTGCTTCCAACGCCTTCCTGCTTCGTGTTTCTGCCTACTCCTTCCGACCGATGGGTATGGGGGTCCAGCGCCGATTCAAGACATACGTGCGGCCCTCCAATAGGTTATGCCTATGCTGATTGTGGCGATCGTTATTATCCAGATTCGTCTGCTCGTCTTAATTATTCTTATGATTGCTCCTCTTTCTTTTCCTTTGGGGTGGAGTCGGAATCTGGCAGGTGCACGCGTCTGGCGCGGTAGAAGACAGCGCGGCGTCCATGGCAAAGCATATTGGAGCCATGGCAGCGCGCTCAAGACAAGGCCTCGCCTCGGAGGGATCGAGAAGGTGGCATATCTGGGGATTCAGTGCTTCTGGATCGAGCCGTATACTTTGAAATGCAGCTATCTTCGCGCGTGGTCTTTCCCGACGGGTCGATCCGCGAGGAGGTCTCGGGGTCCAAGACGGGAGCAATACGACAGTCATGATCTTGGTTCACGGCGCCCATATTGCGGAAGGCACCGCTTGCTTTGCTGACCTGCGGCTGGTACGAACTGCGGCGACGGAGGCTGGGGGGTCACCACCCACCAAACCACCCCAACCCAACCCGCAGACCCTCCACGGTCCTATCCTCCACTCCCCGCCCCGTCTCTGATCCCTTCCTCGCCCTCCTCATACTTCCTGGCCCCTCGCCCCATATGTTGCCCTCCCTCTTCCTCATCGTCTCCCTCCGTCCTCCTTCCCTCGGCCCCCCCGCCCTTCCCGCCCTGCTCCGAGCTGTTCCTCCTCCTCTCTGGGCATGAGCTGGCTGGCGGCCTGGATCCAGCCGCGGCGGGCGCAGGCGAAGCAAGAACCCTCTGACCTCGAACCGCGATCCTGGTCGTCGTCGTCCTCCTCCTCCTCCTCCTCCTCCTTCCCAGGCCGTCCAGATGAGGCTGAAGTAGACGGGTTCGGAGGATCGCGCAGCATCACTGATACATCGGCGATGCGACGCGATCCAGAACTCGATTTTGACCATCCCGACGTCGCCGATGTACCGGCGATGCTGCGCGGCCCCCCGACCCCATCTACGCCCCCCCCCGCCCCCCCCCCCATTTGGACAGTGTATATCCATTCGCCATGAACGACAGGGGTCTTGGGGGAAACGGGTCCTAGAACACAGGGTTTTCCCAGGGATTCGTTTTCATCCCGAGTACTTGTTCGACTGTCCCGGGGCCGTGGAGGGCCCCAAGGCTCGTCGTTAACAAGCGGGACCACACATCCAAGGCCGCTCTCCTGAAAAACCCGTCTCTTTCATGCCAAATCCATCGTCGTGCTGCTGCCCAGCCTGACCTGTGCCGCTCCCGCTGAGCGCAGCGGGCAGAGTTCATCGCTCAGCCAGCGCAGCGCGTAGGAACCCCACTCTGAAGTCCTGGCGTGATGCTGGCTGCACTGGCGAGAGGCTACCATCGGCATCGTTTGCTTGGCATGTCGCGCTGCCGGCTCTGGCCCATCATTCAACACTTCGGCGCGACACCGTAAGCACGTCCAGGTCTCCAAGCATCGACGCCCCGAGCTTCTCCCAGCAGCCCCGCCCCACGAGGCAGAGCGACACGCCGTCAGCCTGCAGGGCACAGCGTGTCGCAGGGGCCACCGCGGCACGAGCTCCTGACTGTACCCGGACCCCCGAAGCCAGTTTTTTTTTCACATCGTGGACCCCCCGAGAAATCGGCACCTTCTTTCCCCTGGACCAGTTTTCATCCGGGATCTCTTTTTTGGCGCCCCCCAGGCCCGGCCAGGGCCCCCAGAGGCCAAGAGTTGCCAGCAACCTCCCGTCGCGGTCCTTCCACACCGAGAGGAGATGGGGGCTCTGACAGCAGGCAGCTCGGCTTTTCAACATAATTCCACGAATTTGAGTTTGTACGCCCTCCGTCCTTCACCTTCCAGCCTCCACCCTCCGCCCTCCACCTGCCGCCCTCCGCCCTCCACCCACCGCCCTCCCTCCACCCTCCACCCTCCGCCCTCCACCCTCCGCCCTCTACCCACCGCCCTCCGCCCTCCACCTGCCCCTCCACCCGCCGCCCTCCACCTGCCACCCTCTGCCCTCCACCCTCCGCCCTGCGCCCTTGACCTTCCGCCCTCCGCCTTCCGCCCTCCACCTTCCGCCTTCCACCCTGCGCCCTCCACCCTTCGCCATCCACCCGCCGCCCTCCGCCCTCCACCCGCCGCGCTCCACCCTCCGCCCTCCGCCCTCTACCCGCCGCCCCTCGCCCTCCGCCCTCCACACTCCGCCCTCCGCCCTCCACCCTCCACCCTCCGCCCTCTACCCACCGCCCTCCACCTGCCGCCCTCCACATGCCGCCCTCCACCCTCCGCCCCACCCCCCGCCCTTCGCGCCCTCCGCCACTCCGCCCTCCCCCTCCGCCCTCTGCCCTCCGCCGTCCGCCTTCCGCCGTCCGCCTTCCGCCGTCCGCCCTCCGCCCTCTACCTCCACCCTTCGCCCTCTACCTCCACCCTCCGCCCTTCGCCATCCGCCCTCCACCTTCCGCCCTCTACCCGCCGCCCTCCACGCTCCGCGCAACATGTTTTCCTCATGCGGCGGCGCGTGCGCCCCTCCCCCCCCCTCTGGCGGCCAGGACGTGCTCGGATCGCCCCTGTGCCTCGCGGTGGCCGCCCCGCCCGCGCACGCGTGCGGCTCCGCGCCGGCGCCTGGGCTCCCTGTCCTCCGCAGTTTCATGGATGCAGGAGAGGGATGTGGCATCAAGGGGTGTGGTGCGACGGGTAACACCGCCAGGCTCAGCATTGGCACCACACCCCTGAATTCCACACCTTTTCCTGCCTCCGGACTCGTCCTCCTCCCTCGTCCATGTTCCTTATGGGGAACTCCTCCCTGTCGCACCCCCAGACGTGTCGGTAAGGCGGGTCAGGCGTTTTTTTAAGATTCCTCAACATCTATGCTCCTGGAACCACCCCTCCTCCGTCAGGGAGGGGAAACAGAGGAGGGAATCGACGTAACTACGACGTTTCTTTATTGCTCCATTTCCTCGGGACTGGCGACGACAATGACGACGACGACGACGACGAGGGTAAGACCTCTCGACACTCCGAAGGGTCGGCGGATTTTGTGTGTGTGTGTGTTTTTTGTTGGCGCCCCCTTTTGCACTGTAGCCTCCAAGTTGGAGGCGTGGAGATTGCACGCGGTTTGCCGACGATTTTTCAGAGCGGCGCTCGAAAGGCCAAGCCAGTGGCTGAAGCTATCCAAGTGAAAGGCACCAGTAAGCTTTGTGCACGCGGAGGAGGAGAAGGAGGCGGGATGAGCGAGGAGGGAGGAGGAGGGAGGCGGGCTTGGACGGGGTTTGAGATGGTTCGATGGTCCAGGGAGATTCTAGGGGGGGTTCAGGGTGGGTTGTTCCGCTGGCCCTGAACCGGGGAATATCGGGGAGTCCTGAGGAGGAGGAAGAGGAGGAAGAGGAGGAGAAGGAGGAGGAGGAGGAGACGGCAGTCGTTCGCGGGCGCCGTGCGAGTTTGAGCTCAAGCTGGGGCTGCGCCAGCGCGATCGGCGCGCACTGCCGTACCGCAATCCCCGCCCTCGAAGAGAAAGAGCCTCTGGGCAATTGGGCGGCAGAGGGACCAGCGCAGGCAGCCGAGGAGACCGCTCGTTGAGTGGCCGCGCTCGCTGACGAAGATGCGATGATGACGAGAATAATGACGATGATGATGCTGATCCTGATACTGATACTGATGATGCTGATGCTGATGCTGATGTTGGAGGGGGAGGTGGAGGAGGAGGATGCTTATGATGATGCTTCTGCTGATGATGATGATACTGAAAATGATGATGACGATGATGATGCCGATGACGGTGACGATGACGATGATGATGATTATTTTGATGATGATGACGATGATGATGGTGATGGTGATGGTGATGTGATGATGATGATGATGATGATGATGATGATGATGATGATGATGATGATGATGATGATGGTGATGGTGATGGTGATGGTGATGGTGATGGTGATGGTGATGGTGATGGTGGATGGTGGTGGTGATGATGATGATGATGATGGATGGTGATGATGATGATGATAATGGAAATGATGTGGTGGATGATGATGGTGTGAGCTCTCTTGACGGTGTGGATGGCATATGGACTGATGACTTATTGATGCTGACTTGATCGCATCGATCGATGGTTGATGTGTGTGATAGATTGATGTGCGATGATGATACTCAGTGCATGTGGTGGTGGTGTGGTGCTCGTGTGGTGTGTCGTGGTGGTGTGGTCGCGGTGGGGGTGTGGTTGGTGGGTGTTGTGGTGTGTGGTGGTGTGATCGATATGGTTCAGACTGCCTGGGGATGATGCAGATGATGATTAGTGATGGTATGTGATTGATTGAATGATCTGATGGGTGTTGGGTGGTGGTGGTGTTGGTGGTGGTTGTGGTGGTGGTGGTGGGTGATGATTGATGATGATGATGATGATGATGATGATGATGAATGTGTGATGATGATGATAGATGAGTGATGATGATGATGACGATGAATGATGATGATGAGGATGATGATGATTGATGGCTGGTGATGGTGGTGGTGTGGTGGTGGTGGTGGTTGGTGGCGCTGCGATGGCGGTGACGGCGGTTGTGTGATGGCGAGGCCGCCGTTCACAGCTCCCAGATCTCCGACGATATGTTTTTTCGATCCCGGCGGATTCTCCTTCTATTTCGGCCTCCAGGGGCCGCCATCGGGCCCCAGAACATTCAAAAACGGGTCCGTTACGAAAGTGACCCCCTCTGGGAGGCGGTCGAGATTTCTTGGGCCGCGGATTGGATACAAATCACGCATGCAAGTGTCAGGGCTTGTTGCGCTCCGCCTGCGTGGCCGCAGAGGAGAGGCTCGGGTCGGACGAGAGGGGGGGGGAAATTAGGGAGAGGAGGGGTTACAACACCTGCTGCATGCGGCTGTTTTCGGTCCTGCCACCGGGCGCTTCCCTTGATACATCTGCGCCTATGGCGCCGTGAAGCGTCAGGAAAATCAGTTTCTTGAGCTGCCCCCCCTCGGCCCCCCTCGTTTGTCCAACCCGAGATGGCAACGGATGCAACACGTGTTGCGCAGGCTCTGCGGTGCAGGCTGTGTGATGCTGTGTGGTGCAGGCTGTGATGTGCAAGCTATACGTGGGCAGGTGGGTCGTCTTAGGGTCACGGGCGCTTATTTTGCCAACGGGCCAAGACTTGAGAATTAAGGAGGTGGGTCCTGATGGCTAGCGGCGCCCAGGAATCAAGGAACGCCATCTTCAGGCTGGGACCCCGGGGGCGGCTGAGTCCCCGTGGCGAGCGGCACCCAGGAATCGCCATCTCCAGGCTGGGGCCGTGGGACCGGGTAGGTCCCCGTGGCCGCCGCCCGGGAGTCGAGGGGACTTCACTTCCGAGCCTTCTGAGCCGGGGCGCAAGGGACGGAGGTCGAAGCAAGCGGGGGTCAGTCAGAGCGCCGGATCTTGCAGGATCCTGCTGGGCCAGGGATGCATCGACCCTGGGTTTGGCGCAGGACCTTGCAGCATCTTGCAGGATCCTACAAGGCCTGACTGACCTGGGTCAGGAATCCAGGGTTTTGAGGAGGGAAAAAAGGAGGGAGGAGGAGGAGGAGGAGGATTGCTTGACCCGGGCCGGAAGATCCCCGACGGAGAAGCCCCGCCCCTCCGCGCTTCCCCCCGCGGGGCGCGGCGCCAACAGGAGAGCCTCTGGAGCTCTGGCAGCGGGCCCACGTTAGCCGACGGCTTCCCCCCTCCACCCCCGAGCGTGGGAGGCAAGAGCTCGGCCGGGCGGGGCCAGGACGAGGACAAGCCCGTGCCAGAGCCTTCCAGGACGCGCTCGGTGCAGCTCCCTATGGGGCCACGAGGCGCCGTACGGGACGTCGCTCAGGCGGTCCGGAGAAGCCTCCACGGATGATGGTGCGTCTTGGCCGCCTGGAACGCCGGGGAGCAGTCGGGGGCCTGTCGTGGGCCCGGGGCCCTCTTGGGCCGTCTGGTTGAGCTGGTGGGGGCCTCTTGGGCCATCGTGGGGCGATTGCGAAAATACCTGGCGCTCCGGAACGCTCTGAGAAGGCTTCGGCGCCTGAGACAGCCTCCAGAGCCCGCCAGATCTCGGAGGTTCTCGACGTATCCTCACCCGATTACTTTCGCCTCGCCCTGGCTTCGTCTTCCTTGGAGTCCCTCCTCCCCTCAGGAGGGAAAGAAACACACAGACACAATTAATCGTCGATTCCCCAGAAAATATGGGAAAATATGGGAAGTGGGCGGGAAGACAGAAACCTAGAAAATATAGGAAAATATGGGGAATCATTCCCTACTAGGCTCTGCCTAGAAGAGTTCTTACCCTCTGGGCTTAAAGGGCCGGGCAGTGGCAACCGCCCCAGGCGGTTCCCCCGGCATCCGCCCCGCGGTTCCCCCAGTCCCCTGGGAGCTTTAGCTTTAGCTTTAGCTTAGCTTAGCTTTAGCTTAGATTTAGCTTAGCTTTAGCTTATGATTTGCTTAGATTTAGCTTAGTTTTAGCTTAGCTTTAGCTTAGCGTTAGCTTAGCTTTAGCTTAGCTTTAGCTTAGCTTTACCTTAGCTTTAGCTTAGCTTTACTGTTACTACTAATGATGCTTTCCTAGGGGCTCCAACTCCTAGGTAGGGTCGCACTGGGATAATTTTATGTGTATTTATTCAATCGCTTCGCTCATTCCGCCGGCCCATAATGTCGCACCGTGGTCGCCTGTCCGAGTGGTCGTTTGCAGTGTGGAGCTGCGGCGTCGGGAGCTGTGTAGTTGTCGATCAATTTGTTGTTGTTTTTTCGTGTTGGACCTCTCTTGGACCGTGTTGGGGGCGTTCTTGGGGCCCTCTTGGGCCGTCCTGGAGGCCTCCGGGGCCGTCTTGGAGCCGTCTTGGGCCGTCTTGGGGCCCTTGGGCGTCGGGGAACCGAAAAGGTTAAAACGCCGAA